GGAGTGGGTGGAGTGACACATTAGGGTGCCTGTAATATGTCAATTTGATATGCCCAGGTACAGGGGCCTGACAGTGTCTAAGTTCCTTGTTAGTAGGGTTTCAGTAGGAGAAATGAAGTGACACATTAGAGGGCATGTAATATGTCAATTTGCCCAGTCCAGGACCCAGGAAGTGAAGATACACATTATAGTGGGTTTAATGTGCCAGTTTGTTATGTCCATAAAAAGTGCTTTCCGATGTATCAATTTCTTATCAGTAGGGTTTCAATAGGATAGGTGGAGCGACACATTATAGGGCCTGCAGTGTGTCAGTTTATTATGTCCAGGGGTTTTCTAGTGGAAAAGTTCCATTGCAATAGAGGTTCCATAGGAAGGAGTGGAGTGACACATTAGAGGGCCTGTAATGCGTCAATTTATACTACCCAGAGACCTTCCAATATACAGATGCCCTACAGTGTATAAGTTCCTTGCCTTTAGGGTTTCAATAGGAATAATGACACATTAGAAGGCCTGTAATGTGTCAGTTTGTTTTCCCATGTGCCTTCCAATGTATCTCTATACATATCAGATCTGATGTGATCACAGCATTAGCCAAGAAGGATATCACGTAGTTAATAGTCTTCACGATCTTAACAAAGGCGCAATTATCCGTATCGAAGGTATACATTCCCATGAAAAAATCCCTATAGATCCCTTCACAGATCCCTTGTATGGAGCCCTCATAGACAGCCTTTATAGATTCGTATAGAAACTTTATAGATCCCCTATATAGAGAACTTATAGAAACCCCGTATAGATCAACAAATGGAGTTCTTTGTAGAAAACTTTACAAGATCCCTTACATGGAGCTTTCATAGACAACTGCTATATATTCCTTACCCTTTGTATAAACCACATGGAAGCTCTGTATAGATCCCTCGTATGGAGCCCTTCTGGAAAACCCTTACAGATTGCTTATAGAAATCTTATAGATCCTCTATGTAGAGATCCCTTACAGAGAGACTTTCTAGAAACCCATTATGGATCCCTCATATGGGGCCTTTATAGTAAGCCCGGTTACAAAGTATGTAGATGCGATGTGGTAAGCTATTCTTGATATAGTAGTTAAGATAAATCGATTGTATTATGGTTCGTACAATACCTATGAAATTACCTTTAAGAATAGAGGGAGCGGTATTAAAACCAATGAAACCGGCAACGAAGATGATGAAGATGATGAAGATGATGGAAATGATGAAGATGATGGAGATGATGAAGATGATGGAGATGATGAAGCTGATGAAGATGATGCAGATGATGGAGAGGGGGTGGGGTGTCCGCAGCCCTGTTGGACCCTAATGGGTTCGTGGTGGGGGTGGGGGTAGTGGGTGGGGTCGGGGAGGGATGTGAATGGGCAGGGGGTTTGTGCTGGCGTGGTGAGGGGTGGGTTTGGGGGAGTGGGTGATAAAGGTGATAAACCGATGATAAATGATAATAGGATGGTGATAACGATGATGGGGAGGAGTAGGTGGTGGGTAGTGGGTAGTGGTGGCTGGCGGGTGCTGGGTAGTGGTGGGTGGTGGGTGGTGGGTGATGGGTGGTGTGGTGGGTGGTGTGTGGTGGGTGGTGTGTGGTGGTTGGTGGGGAGGGTGTGGGTGGTGGGCGTGGCGGGTGAGGGGTGCCGGGTGGTGGATAATAGGTGGTGGGTGGTGGGTGGTGATGGGGTACGAGGCAAGGGGCTGAGATAGGGGGGTGGGTAGTGAGGTATGAAGGGGGCAGGAGGGTGGAGTGGGGGCAGGGGTGTATAATCCCTGCGAGCCGCGACCGAGCAGAAAGCCTGTAAATGCCGCGTTCAAAAAACGGCCAGGGATCCCACACATCTGCGGGCAAAATCTGGCGGAAGTGATCCGCCGCCGAGCAAAAAGCCTGTAAATACCGCGTTAAAACAAGGGCTAGGGATTTCACACATCGCTGGCAAAATCTGGCGGAAGTGATTTGTGGTCGAGCAAACCACCTGTAAATACCGCGTTAAAGCAAGGGCTAGGGATTTCACACATCGCTGGCAAAATCTGGCGGAAGTGACCTGTGGTCAAGCAAAACACCTGTAAATACCGCGTTAAAGCAAGGGCTAGGGATTTCACACATCGCTGGCAAAATCTGGCGGAAGTGATCTGTGTCGAGCAAAACACCTGTAAATACCGCGTTAAAACAAGGGCTAGGGATTTCACACATCGCTGGCAAAATCTGGCGGAAGTGATTTGTGGTCGAGCAAAACACCTGTAAATACCGCGTTAAAGCAAGGGCTAGGGATTTCACACATCGCTGGCAAAATCTGGCGGAAGTGATCTGTGGTCGAGCAAAACACCTGTAAATACCGCGTTAAAGCAAGGGCTCGGGATTTCACACATCGCTGGCAAAATCTGGCGGAAGTGATCTGTGGTCGAGCAAAACACCTGTAAATACCGCGTTAAAACAAGGGCTAGGGATTTCACACATCGCTGGCAAAATCTGGCGGAAGTGATCTGTGGTCGAGCAAAACACCTGTAAATACCGCGTTAAAACAAGGGCTCGGGATTTCACACATCGCTGGCAAAATCTGGCGGAAGTGATCTGTGGTCGAGCAAAACACCTGTAAATACCGCGTTAAAGCAAGGGCTCGGGATTTCACACATCGCTGGCAAAATCTGGCGGAAGTGATCTGTGGTCGAGCAAAACACCTGCAAATACCGAGTGGAAACACGCTAGGGATTTCACACATCTGCCGGTGGGTGGGAGGGTGGAGGGGTGGAGAGGAGGGTGGGGGTTGGGAAGGGACGGGTGGGAGGGGGAGGGGTTGGAAGGAGGTGGAGGGGATGGGCTGGTGGGCAAGGGAATACAGGTGGGCGGGGGAGAGCAGGGGGTGAGGCACTGGCCCTATCGACAGAACCCCATCATTTCAATTAATTGAAATAATTGAAATAATTGAAATCCTTGTGTACCGTGAGGCCCTTCCACGGAACCACAGGATTTAAATTAATTGAAATAATTGAAATACTTGAAATGGGCCCTATTTCAATTATTTCAATTATTTCAATTATTTAGGTGACCTAAATAATTGAAATAATTGAAATAATTGAAATAGGGCCGATTTCAATTATTTCAATTATTTCAATTAATTGAAATCGTGTGGTTCATCGGTTGATCTAGGAAACCTATTGATTTCAATTATTTCAATTATTATAATTATTTAAGTTGGCCCCACAACTCAAATAATTGAAATAATTGAAATCCTTGTGGTCCGTGTGGCCCTTCCACGGAACCATAGGATTTCAATTAATTGAAATAATTGAAATAATTGAAATAATTGAAATAATTGAAATGGGACCGATTTCAATTATTTCAATTATTTCAATTGTTTGGGTCACCTAAATAATTGAAATAATTGAAATAATTGAAATAGGGCCTATTTCAATTATTTCAATTATTTTCATTATTTCAATTATTTCAATTAATTGAAATCGTGTTGTTCATCTGTTGAACTAGGCAACCTATTGATTTCAATTATTTCAATTATTTCAATTATTTGGGTGACCCAAATAATCGAAATAATTGAAATAATTGAAATCCTAATGGTCCGTGTGGCCCTTCCACAGAACCATAGGATTTCAATTAATTGAAATAATTGAAATAATTGAAATAATTGAAATGGGGCCGATTTCAATTATTTCAATTATTTCAATTGTTTGGGTCACCTAAATAATTGAAATAATTGAAATAGGGCCGATTTCAATTATTTCAATTATTTCAATTATTTCAATTAATTGAAATCGTGTGGTTCATCGGTTGACCTAGGAAACCTATTGATTTCAATTATTTCAATTATTTTAATTATTTAAGGTGGCCCACAACTCAAATAATTGAAATAATTGAAATCCTAATGGTCCGTGTGGCCCTTCCACAGAACCATAGGATTTCAATTAATTGAAATAATTGAAATAATTGAAATGGGGCCGATTTCAATTATTTCAATTATTTCAATTGTTTGGGTCACCTAAATAATTGAAATAATTGAAATAATTGAAATAGGGCCGATTTCAATTATTTCAATTATTTCAATTAATTGAAATCGTGTGGTTCATCGGTTGACCTAGGAAACCTATTGATTTCAATTATTTCAATTATTTTAATTATTTAAGGTGGCCCACAACTCAAATAATTGAAATAATTGAAATCCTTGTGGTCCGTGAGGCCCTTCCACAGAACCATAGGATTTCAATTAATTGAAATAATTGAAATAATTGAAATAATTGAAATAATTGAAATGGGACCGATTTCAATTATTTCAATTATTTCAATTGTTTGGGTCACCTAAATAATTGAAATAATTGAAATAATTGAAATAGGGCCTATTTCAATTATTTCAATTATTATAATTATTTCAATTATTTCAATTAATTGAAATCGTGTTGTTCATCTGTTGAACTAGGCAACCTATTGTTTTCAATTATTTCAATTATTTCAATTATTTGGGTGACCCAAATAATCGAAATAATTGAAATAATTGAAATCCTAATGGTCCGTGTGGCCCTTCCACAGAACCATAGGATTTCAATTAATTGAAATAATTGAATAATTGACATAATTGAAATAATTGAAATGGGGCCGATTTCAATTATTTCAATTATTTCAATTGTTTGGGTCACCTAAATAATTGAAATAATTGAAATAGGGCCGATTTCAATTATTTCAATTATTTCAATTATTTCAATTATTTCAATTAATTGAAATCGTGTGGTTCATCGGTTGACCTAGGAAACCTATATATATAAATAAATAAAGAAAACATAGTAGCTAAATAGACCCAAGAGGTAGCACTCTCAAATATATATATATATATATATATATATATATATATATATATATATAACCCTAAGTGGTCTGACGCAACGGAGAACAGCGGAGTGAAGTTTCCACGTGCCTTTCTCATCCGTTTTCGGTGCGAGTGATTTGGGCTCGAGCTCCCAGCTCGAGCCGGTGATGCCATGCCAGGCCCATGGGTATCCGCCTCGTCGGACCCTGAGGCATGGGCATCACTTGCGCCGAATGTCGGCGACTACCTCGAGTTCGTGGCGTACGACTCGGGGTTGACGAAGCAGGGAACTGTCCTGGCCAGGGTGGACGCGGTGAGCGAGCGGACTGGCAAGGGACAGTGGATGGAGATCACCATCCTAGCCACCAGCGACGACCACCTCAGCTGGTGGCTTACAGATGGAGGTGGCAAAGATGACCACTGGCAATTCGAGCTCCACCTCTGTAAAACCACGGAGAGGAGCTGCAAGCAACCAAAGCGAGGCCGGGGGATGGACTTCCACTCGGACAAGGTGAGGACCATCACCATAGGAGACCTCGCCGACCGCAAGATAGATTGGGTCAAGAAGGGCAAGCACAAGAAGTACGTCGACGAGGAGGTCGCGAGAATGTCTGGGGATCTCCCTACGGGGAAGGAAGCTGTGGGGTCACGGGATCAAGCCACGCTTGGTTTCGATGAAGGCCACCGGCTCCCACCACCGGACAAGTCCGCGGAGGATGACGCCCTACGCGGGCTGACCCAGCTGGAGGCGGACTTAGCATCGCCCAAGAAGGCGAAGAAAAAGGCGGGGCAAGCTGATGGATCCCACCATGGACCCCTCAAGAGGGAGAACACCGGTGAGGAGAAGAAGAAAAAGAAGAAGAAGCGAAAGAAGGCTCCAGCCGACTCCGCCCACGGGCGCGTGCTAGCTCTGCGCCTCCAGCTGGCGGTGGGGCACAGTGGTTTGGCCGCGCCGTGGAGAAGGACCCCTCGGATGGATCCAGCAGCGGTGAGACTCCAACCTCGAGTTCCTCGCACAAGAAAAAGAAGAAAAAGGGAAAGAAGACGAAGGAGAAAAAGAAGGAGTCCAGAGACAGGGGACCCTTTGGCTCGGGGCACAAGCTGGACTACGATGGGGAAGTTTTTCGCGACGGCCCTCCTTCCGACAATGGAACCAGCCTGCAACTCCGCCTGGTGGAGTACTCGGTCAAGAGGCCGGGAAGGCTGGCCGCCCGGCTGCTTCAGAGGATGCAAGCCATGGTGGGGAAGGAGGGAGGGCCGACCCTGATCAAGACCGCCTACAACAAGACACCACCCGTCGCCACCAATTGGGTTCTGACCGTCCTCGGGCCGAAGCAGTTCCCAATGAGGCTGTTGAGAGAAATGAAGACGCTGGCCACGGTGTTGGACCAGATCGCAGCCGGTCGCTCACACGCGGCAGCAGACGTGGTGGCTCAGAGGTTGAAGGCGCTGGAGCTGTCCCAATCGGACGGCTCATGGAACAGAGCTCAATTTCTGGAGCTTCTGGAAGCAGAAGGGCCGAGTCTGCTCGAGAGAGAGGAGGCCGTCATGGCCTCAAAGGAGTGGGCCGGAGAGCTTCGAATGAGGAAGCTGCAGGGGCCCAAGGGAGGAGGAAAGGCGGATCCGAAGGGCGACCCGAGAAAGGGAAGCCCGGGAAGGGCAAGGGCGGGCCGCCGGCCGAGTGAGGACGGAGACTGTCAAGGAGGAGATCCCCGACTACGATCCGCCGACCGACGAGGTCCTCCCACGGGAGAGATGATACAGGTATCGTTCTTGAGGGGCTCGACCGAGGTCCGGGAATCCAACCTTTGGGCAAGGCTCTGGTGGAAGCCATGCTGTCCTTGAAGTCGGCCCTCGGAACTTTCGCCAGAGTGCACGCTAACCCGGAGAGGCTGCCCCCGGGCGCCGAGCCCACTTCCTCCGGGGACCGACCAGGGCATCATGGTGATGTTCTCCCCCTTCACCCGAGCTTGATCTTGCCGGGATTGAAAGGGGTGACCTCTGAGAACATCCACTGGGTCAGGGCCGTGTTCATCGTCTCGACTACCTCTACTGCGCGGCCTGGTCAAAGCCTGTGTGTGTCCCGATGGTCCGGACCGGACGAGCTGAAGGAGGCGATCCAGGACCCGGCCGCGTACCTCTTGCCCGTGACGGAGCTGCCGGAGCGCCACCGCGGATCCAGGGTTCGTGCCGATGATGAGCAATGGCACAAGATTGTGAAGGCCGGTTACGACCGAGGCATGTTCACAGCGGTGAAGGATGAGGATGTGCCGGTTGACCGCAAGGGGCACCTCATCACCAACAGGGCCGGTGGAGTGGCAAAGGTCAAGCAACAAACCGGAGCCCAGGATAGCCTCCCTTACATAGGCCAGCTCACTGCCATCCTGGCCGACAAGGACTCGTACATGGTCCTTGACAGCGAGGACCTGCACTCGGCCTTCAACCTTTTTTGGATGCCGCCGGTGTGGGCTCCCTACTTTAGCTTTGCGAAGAAGGTGAAGGGAGATGCTCTGGGACTCAGCCCGAACGTGATGGTGAGGCCGGGGCTGACGGTAGTTCCCATGGGCTGGACGTCGGCCGTTACGCTCATCCAGGCGGCGATCAGGCACATCTCCTATGTGATTGCGAAGGTGACCAGCCCCTTCCCGAAGGAGAGAGCAACACGGTCCTCTACCTGGACAACTTCGATGAGATCCGTTACCTGAATGCGGAGATCGCTCTGAGGGAGGAGGGTCAACCTTCAGAGAACCATGGTCGCTTTGTCACTGCCTGTGAGATGCTGGGCTTGCCAAGGAACTTGGGCAAGCAACTTTCGGGAGCCTTGTCGGGAACCCTCCAAGGAGGAGAAATCCTGGGCAAGGAGAAGATCCTCCGCCACGCCTACGACAAGTCGGTGGAGCTCCTGGAGCTGAGCTTGGGGCTGCTGACCATGGAACTCGCGGATGAGTTCACTTTGCGGCACTGGTGTGGAAAAGCAGCCTTCGCTGCAGCCTTTCGGCGGCCACTCTACGCCATCCTGCAGGAAGTCTATTGCACCATGGATTGGGCCAAGACTGGGACGCAGGTTTCTTTGGAGGCCCCGGTGCTGGACGAGATCCTCTCTTTTGCGGTACTCCTCCCCCTGGCGGAGACCGACCTGTCCTCGGAACTCTCAGAGCAGGTCAGCTGCACGGATGCGTTTCCAACCGGCGGGGGTTCGAGTGTGGCCACCACATTCAAGGACAAGTCCCTCCTTCTTCCACTTCCGCTTGAAGACAAGGGAGACTGCGGGTGTTGCGGCAAACTCCTGGAGGAGCCGCAATGGAGGACCTACCCGTGCTCTAGGAAGTGTGGGAAGAGACTTTGTTCGCTCCGCTGTGCCCGGGACCATGAGGGAGACTGCATCCGGAAATGGTGGCATGTTCCATCGTTTGGGGAACGCTTTGCTGAGTCTGGTTTCCGCTTGTCAAAGGCGATGGGCCTCAAGGGCATTGCCACCCAACCGCCGCTGGGCACCAGCATCAGGAGCGACCCGGGACTTCAAAACGGAGCCGGGGAAGGACAGGCTCGACAACTACGAAGCTCAGGCTGATCTTCTCTGGTCCCACTGGTCTCCTGAGAGGCTCTCCTTCTCAGCCCAGCGAGAAGAGGCTTCTGGGATGATAGAGGGGAATGGAACCATGGCGAGAGGAAGCTTCGAGAAGCGCCACGAGCTGGTCACCCTGAGGCAAGCCAATGCGATGGCTAAGAATCCCGGGGAAGGTTCGCCTCCTTAGAGCATCCCTACGCTTCATGGATCTGGTCGCTGCCAGAAATGTCATCCCTCCACGGAGGAGAATGGTACTGGTCTATTTTTTCCTTGTGCTGCCATGGGGGCAGCAGGGAGGAATGGCTCACGGTGGTTCACAACTCTGCTTCGCTGCATGCGGTCCTCCACAAGCCAACCTGCGAGGGCCACCGTCATGAGGTGATCTCTGAAGCCTATGTGGACCCCGAAAATCAAGACCCTTATCCCTGGGCATTTTGCCTCGTGTTTGCGGAGGGGGTCCATGATGAGCTGAGCAATTGCTACTGCGAGCCCTTTGGAGGCAGGACGGTCACACTCGAGACCCTTATGCCGCACCAACTTAGAGGAGCGACCCGGGGACTTCAAGACGGAGCCGCGGTGGACTGGGCCGTTTCGCAGATGATCCTGATCCAGTTCCTCGAGACCATGGACGCTGGAGCGGAGGAACAGCACCTCAGGTGGCTTTTTGGACATGCTCACCACACGGGGTGCGATGTCAGGCTCACTTCAAGCGGAGCAGACATCGTCGGGAGCCGGCCCGGCCCATACCCAGCTTTCCGCTAGCTATGGCGTGACGCTTTGTCATACAAGTGGAAAGAGCCTCAGCATATCAACATTTTGCAGCTGAGCGCTTTCCTTGCAGAACTGCGGCGCCGCAGCAGGGACCCATCGCAGCACGGGAAAAGATTCTTCAACATCGTCGACCCCCTCGTCACTTTTTATGTGCTGGGAAAAGGTCGCTCAAGCTCGAAAAGGCTCAATCGAGTCTGCCGCCGTGTCACCGCTCTCACGCTCGCCTCAGGTCTGATCCCAATGACGCTCTGGACAATCAGCAAATGGAACTACTCTGATGGTGCGTCGCGCAAATACGAGCCAGCGTAAGCACCTGCGGTTCCTGGGGATCACAGACCGAACAGGCGAAGCTATGAGCGGGCAGTTGCAGATTTTTTTCCAATACCTTCGCGCCCTACGGGGCAGGCTTCCGGCAACAATGGGGGACCTCGACGAGGAACTTTCTGAATACATAAATCATCTTTGGCAGGAGGGGGACAATGTCTCTCTGGCCGGCTGGACCGTCAGTGGGCTGAAAAGATTTTTTCCGCGATGCCGGCCTTTCCTGCAAACGTCACAGCTCTACTTGCGAAATTGGCACAGGGTTCATATGCCAGCTCGCACCAACCCTTTGCCCTGGCTGGCTACCAAGGCCATGGCAGCAGCTGCTGCCAGAGTTGGTCGGTACGACCTAGCTCTCCTGGTCTTGCTGGGGTTTGCCTTTTTCCTCAGAACCATGGAGCTGCTGTCGCTGCAGGTCACCCACCTTCGAATTTTTCCTCAGGATGGCACAATTTTGGTGGCTATCTTGAATGCCTGCAGCAGTCGCTCTCGCTTCGTGAACCACAGTTGGCGGCCATCCTGACTTATATTCTTCACCGGGTACGCCCGAGTAAACATCTTTATTCTTTTTCACCTCTGGTTTTCCGACGGGGATTTGCCGCTTTGGTGGCCACGGTGGGTTTCTCCCCGGACGATTACCTGCCTTATTCTATGCGCGGGGAGGCGCCGCGTTCTTTTACCAACGCCACGGCCTTGGGCGCACAGTGGTACAAGGACGTTGGAAAGACCAGTCCACGTGTCGCATCTATGTGGACGACGCACGCGCGTCTCTTATCCAGCTTTCTTTGCCCTCCGCACCGCCGCTCGTCAACGTTGGCTGGCTTCTTTTTGGCGAGTGGCTCTGCCAGGTGGTCCTCCTCCCTGACCTTCTTGGGTGGTTGGCGGCTGGCTTCGGTTTTTGGGGAGTTGGCGAATGATTTCTGGCCTCCTGTGCTGTGGCATTAAATTTGCTGCAGCATCCTCCCACGGGAGAGACGTCCACGGACGAGATTTGAGGCATGTACATGGTAGGGCCCGGTCCCTCTTTGGTAGTGAACTTTTAGGTTCCGCCAACTCAGATTGCTCCCAGCCTCTTCGGGTTGACAACAGCCGGCGTGAGAAAACCCTAAGTGGTCTGACGCAACGGAGAACAGCGGAGTGAAGTTTCCACGTGCCTTTCTCATCCGTTTTCGGTGCGAGTGATTTGGGCTCGCCTCCACGACCCCGCCACCACCCGTTGGCGAATGATTTGTGGCCTCCTGCGCTGTGGCATTAAATTTGCTGCAGCATCCTCCCACGGGAGAGACGTCCACGGACGAGATTTGAGGCATGTACATGGTAGGGCCCGGTCCCTCTTTGGTAGTGAACTTTTAGGTTCCGCCAACTCAGATTGCTCCCAGCCTCTTCGGGTTGACAACAGCCGGCGTGAGAAAACCCTAAGTGGTCTGACGCAACGGAGAACAGCGGAGTGAAGTTTCCACGTGCCTTTCTCATCCGTTTTCGGTGCGAGTGATTTGGGCTCGCCTCCACGACCCCGCCACCACCCGTTGGCGAATGATTTGTGGCCTCCTGCGCTGTGGCATTAAATTTGCTGCAGCATCCTCCCACGGGAGAGACGTCCACGGACGAGATTTGAGGCATGTACATGGTAGGGCCCGGTCCCTCTTTGGTAGTGAACTTTTAGGTTCCGCCAACTCAGATTGCTCCCAGCCTCTTCGGGTTGAAAACAGCCGGCATGAGAAATGTATATGTGTTGGCATGTTTATGCTATATCATACTTGTATATACACAGAAATACAAACGTGTATCTGCATACAATCATGTATGTGTATATAATATACATATATTATACATATATGCAGGTTTACACAAATACACATGCATATACACATACACATACGCACACACACACACACACGCGCGCGTATGTATGTATATATATATAGTAGTATATATGCAGCTACATGTACCTTTCCAGTGTACATACCTATGTATACATATACACACATTCCTATACATATACATGAAGATGTACATATACCTATACATACAGATATACATATACATGTACACATTCATGTACATTTGCATTTACATCTACATATATACATATATATATATATATATAAATAAACACACACACACACCTGTGCATACATACTTATATACATGCACATTCACATGTAAACGTACATAAACATAATTCTACATACAGAGCACAACAGATACACATATGTATTGATATACTTTTACTTACATATACGTGTATAAATTTTGACACGCTCGGTTATGCGTACGTGCCCAATTATGCATATACATATGTACGCATGTTTTTGGCACTCGCACTCGAGCAAGCCAGGCGAGGTTTAGGGGTACATATGTATATATATATATATATATATGCATGTGTCGAGTTTGGCAGGCTTGGGTGCACATGTGTCATTCTATGCGAACCATGTACCTGTGCTCATTTTCAATTTTGGCTTAAGCGACCGCAGAGCCAAACTGGCTGGCAACAGGTACATCCAATTTTTGAGCACATCTGGAGAGTGACTCCAGGGCGATGGATGTTGCCACTCGTACCGGCCCTATTGCCTATACGGAAGAGCGGGGGCTCTCTGCTGAGAACATGTCTGCCTTTATCAGGTACATGTCTGGGCTCAGCAGGGAGTGAGACTCTGAAGGTTTCTGGTATGTCTGGAACCATGTCTGCGAAGTGGTCCACTACCCGGCAGTTATTGATGTCATGCCCAACCTTCGGATCGATGGCGGGTATGCCGTGTGTTGCCTCGCCTTGTGCTCGTTGCGAGCAGGGGCGCGGGGGCTATCAGTTCCCCTGGTTAGGGCCTTGGGCAGTGCGTGCCAGAGTCGGGTGGCACCCTGATAATGCTCGTGCCAGGTTCCATGACTGCGACACCATGCTTTCTGCTGAGGAAATGGCCATGTATGGGTCAGACATCACGGTCCAGAACATGCTGTCAGCCACGATGGCCCGGGTGCTCTACATGGCTGAGGTCAATTCCTTGCACGATCCTCAAATGCCGCCGTGCTTGATACTTGGCGTCAGTGGCAGCAGGGACAAACGCGCTGGCGCGACCCAGGACTTGGCCTGGATGAGGTTCCAACTGCAGCCGAGGCCTTTTCGGATCCTTGGGTGCGCCACCGTCGTGCCCTCATCTTCTGGCTTTTCCATGCGGGCAACCCCGAGCATGACCCAGGCAATCCATCCCTTGCCCGGGAGAACGCGCATGCAGGCAACAGCATGTCGCCAATGCCGGCGCCCAGGAGGTCTCAAGCTCCTCCTCTTCAGCCTGAGAGAGAGGCTTTGCTCGGCCCGGCGGTCAGGTGTGTGACGCCTGGCTGCCGGTGCGAGAAGAGGCAGGGCTGGCCGGACACTACGAAGACCGGGTCCTTTAAGGTGGGTGTCCGGGAGAGTGTGTGTTCGGGTGCCTTCGTGATTGGGCTTTCGCTTAGAATTGGGCTCCAATCAGTGCAATTGCTGGGAGCTTTCCTGGCGTGGTGGTTGGTCATGCTTCCCAAGCTCGGCGTCTACGCTGCGGAGAGCCTTTCTGCGGCCTCATCGCCTGAAGGGGCTTGCACTGCTCTGGGTGAGCTTTCGCGGCAGCGAGCCGCGCCATGGCGCAGCGACCATGGGTTTCAGGAAGACGGCGATTTCGCATTCGCCTTCAGCTCTTATGAAGATGCTAGGGCTCAGGCTGGAACACTGGTTGCTGGGGAGTGGGCGCAAGTGCGCTCAGAGAGCCAGACGCGACTTCTTGGGCAAGTGGCGCCAGCACTGGAACGGCCGGATACGGCCGGCGGCGGCAGGATCTGCGCCCAGCGAGGGCGTCTATACTTTTCTGGTGCGTATGGCGGCCAAGGGCAGGAAGTTCCGCCAGCGCCGACCCACTGGTGAAGTCCCGGTTCAGGAAGCCGGTCCTACTGAGGAGCAGGTGGTGGCCTTGACTGACGCCCTGTTCGAGCTAGGTGCCATGCAGCCACAGGGCCAGATGACGCAGCAGCTCGAGAAAGAATGGTGGGCCGCGCTGCATCGAAGAGCTGGGGTCAAAGCCGAGGCAGCGGCGACTCTCCGCGGGGCCCTTTTGACCTTTAGCGAACTGCAGATACACATGTCTGACAGAGGGCGCGTGATGACGTGGACATTGACGCGTTCTTTCATGGAGGGACTGAGTCACAGGCCCGTGCTCTGGCAGGTATGAAATGGCTGACGAAAGCCGGCAACCTGGCCCTGGGTCTTGGAGGCTTCAACTTCCGTCAGCAACCGCGGGAGGGATTCGTGGCCGCACAGCCAGCGAGGCTTTACGACTTGTGGTCCTCTGGCGAAAAGAAAATAGCAAAGATGGAACTCAGCATGGTACTGTTTTTCGAAAACGCAGGCGGGCCGCAGGGGGGTTTGGTACCTCGACAACACCGCGGCCCTCATGTCGTTGATCCGCGGTCGCTCGGACAGTGCTGACTTGTCTCGACTTTCCCAGCTGATCCGCCTTTGTCTGTATGCTTACCAGACGTGGGTCTACTGGGAATGGGTTCCCTCCAAGTCTAATTGGAGCGATGCCATCAGCCGCGAAGGCATTCATGACACATGGCATCAAACTCATCTTTTTTCCACTTTTGCCGCCCACTTTCCGTGCGAGCTCTGGTCCCTACCTTTGGAGGCGGTCGTCTCGGTGTTCGAGTTTCTCTAGTGAAGTGCATTGGGATAGTGCCTTGGGATGTGAGGTCCCTGATGTGCATCAGTTGGTCGGACCTCTGTGTTGCTAGAGGTTCTGATGTATATCAGTGTCGTGACCTTTGGTCCTGATGGGACCCGGGTGTGACCCGGTGCGTCCAATGCATATACCCCCCCTTGTCAGGGGCTCTTCACTAGGAGATGAAACCGATCGAGACTGGATGCGAGGCATCTTGAAAAAGTGCGGACCATCCAGAGTGCATGCGGTCGTGGTCGCATGAAATGTATATATATATATATGTATATGTATATATGTATATATATATATATACATACATATATGTACGTAGGACCTTTAGGGTCTATTTGACGTATGGCTTTGCTTTGTTTATCAATACTATATCAATTCAGGCTTTTCAGATTTTAAGGATTTTAAAGATTTCAGATGCTTTTAAAATCTTTTATTTTTGAAAACCAAGCTTTTCAGATTTTAAAGATTTTAAAGGCTTTTGCAATCTTTAAAATCTTTAATTTTTGAAAACCAAGCTTTTCAGATTTTAAAGATTTTAAAGATTTTAAAGATTTTTAAAATTTTAAATAGGTGTCGGTGGCCTGGAGCCCAGACCTAACGATTTAAAATTTTATAAATCTTTAAAATCTTAAAATCTTTAATTTTTGAAAACCAAGCTTTTCAGATTTTAAAGATTTTAAAGGTTTTAAAGATTTTTAAAATTTTAAATAGGTGTCGGTGGCCTGGAGCCCAGACCTAACGATTTAAAATTTTAAAAATCTTTAAAATCTTTAATTTTTGAAAACCAAGCTTTACAGATTTTAAAGATTTTAAAAGCTTTTAAAATCTTTAAAATCTTTAATTTTTGAAAACCAAGCTTTTCAGATTTTAAAGATTTTAAAGGCTTTTAAAATCTTTAAAATCTTTAATTTTTGAAAACCAATCTTTTCAGATTTTAAAGATTTTAAAGATTTTTAAAAATTTAAATCGTTAGGTCTGGGTTCCAGGCCACCGACACCTATTTAAAATTTTAAAAATCTTTAAAATCTTTAATTTTTGAAAACCAAGCTTTTCAGATTTTAAAGATTTTAAAGATTTTGAAAGCTTTTAAAATCTTTAATTTTTGAAAACCAAGCTTTTCAGATTTTAAAGATTTTAAAGATTTTATAGATTTTTAAAATTTTAAATGGGTGTCGGTGTCCTGGAGCCCAGACCTAACGATTTAAAATTTTAAAAATCTGTAAAATCTTTAAAATCTTTAATTTT